GCCTGGGGAAAAACGAGCTGGCAAAGCCCGCAGCTGTGGGGTCCCGGCTTTCTCTGCTGCCATGCGTTTCTTCATCTCTCCAGCATCCGCTGCTCTGACCTGCTCAGCTGCCACGCTCTCAGCATTTGTGCAGGGCCGCTCAATTGCCAAGTCAATGGAGAACAGGGCCGTTCAACTCTGGCTCTCTTGGCTATTGTTTCCCATTAAGCAGTCGGGGTGGGGGGGCAGAAGGGGAAGTCCTGCATTTCCTGTGATTAAAACCGGCTCCCAGCCCACAAGCAGATGAGGCTAATTCAAATCCCAGACCCTCATCTTCCAAACTACACGCTGCTTACTTGTGCCAGTGCTAAGTTAAAGAACACGTCTGAACTGTGTGGCTGCTTGCCTGCTGTTGAAAAGCATTGTGAGTGGTGGGTGCTTTCTGTATAAAGCTCACACTTTCGTTTTGTTTGTAGGTAACAGTTATTGTCTTGGGAAACAAAACTGACCTCCTGGACCAAAGGCAAGTGGAAGCAGAAGCAGCACAGCAATGGGCAAGGGCTGAGAAAGTGAGGCTGTGGGAAGTGACTGTGACAGATCGCAAAACACTGCTTGAGCCCTTCACCTTCTTAGCTAGCAAACTCTCCCAGTCCCAGAACAAATCAACATTTCCCTTGCCTGGAAGGAAGAGCAAAGGGAATAACTGTGATAACTAAGCTCCCTTAGCATTGGCTGCTGCTGCCAGGTCATGGCCTAAGCCCTTTCTGTGCCATTTGCTTCTCACAGTTTCACCCAAAGCAATAATCTCATTCAGCAATAAAATAAGCAAGCTTATGGCTAAGACGTCTCCTTCCTTCTCACGGACTTGGCATGAAAAAGTCACTGGTGGTAAAAGCCTTAAAAAGCACTTCATGAGAGGAGTTATCTTGCAACAAGGGTTATGGAGGAGGGAGGGACAGGTGGGCGCCTCTCTAGCAGGGGCTTTGACTGTGCCTGGATACAGACGTGTTGAGAGAGAAATCAACAAATGAAGCAACCCCCCTGCAGAACTATAGCCTCTAGCCACAAATAGCAATAGCATGGAGAAAGGATATCTTTGAAATAGCAACAGTCCTTTGACCTTGACCTTAACACAGGACCACAGGGCTTTTTGATGCTGCAGGAGGCTGAGGTCAGTGTGCTGTTGCAGAAGAAGGGTTTGGGACAGGAGGAACAACTACCAGCAGATTTAGCCGCTGAAGTTCTGTTAGCGTCTGGAAGAAAAAAACAAAAAGAGAAAAAAACCAAAATCTTGTGGGAGATACTAGATCAGATCTACCCTGACATGAAGCTTGTCCGTGAAGTCTGGCAAGTAGTGCTTTCAGCTCAGGAATTTATTTGTACAAACCAGAAAAAGCTCTCCTAGCACTCATTAATTTAACTGTGACCTGAAGGACAACATAGCTGTACGTGGTTTTGTTCCAGCATGTCCAGTACAAATCAGTCACATTCACATAGGTGATAATTTTGCTGCGAATTTGCGCAGAGCGGTTTTGTACGCAAGAGGTGCTGCCTGGGCTCTGCTCAGTGCGTTGCGTAACACTCGTACCCAGCCGTTCCGCCAAGCCGCCGTCACCCACCCTCAGTACGAAGCCAGGGGCCAGACAGCCACCGGTACAAAGAGCTTCGTGAGAGGGGGCTGCGGAGTGCAGGAGGCTGCCTTTGGGAACATCCGCATGGCAAATGCCCAGAAATGCCTGTACAAATTGGCCTTGGTCTTAATACGCCACACATTGCCCAGCAGCAGGAGCGCGACTGTATGTGCTGTTTTTGACTCTCCAGACCGGTAAACCTGTGCTGCAGGAACCGGCTGCCCTAGGTCAGCCTGTCAGTAAACTGAACAGAACTGGATACAGAGGGACAGAATGAGCAACCTTTCCCAGAGAGAGTGGTCAGCTTTTGGCCTGTAACCACCTGTTAGCGATAACTGATGCTAGCTTTTCTTTATATTTGATGACAAGAGCGGGGAGAGGGAATGAACTGAAGTACCCAGTTCCCTCATCTTCCACTGCATTAATGTTGTTTTGAACAAATATTGAGAATTTCACTGTGACTCAGCAAAACCACGAGCAATATTTGCACTGTCATATCATAACCGCTAAATAGTAAGTGTGCTTAATGATCGCGATTAAGCTGTGGGCTTATAGCCTTGCTCTTCCTGAACACTGACAAATAAAGTCTGTCAGCATTACTAATGTCAGAGCAGCGGTACGATCCACTAAAAAGCAGGTATTCCTACCTTTATAATGAAGGTGGACGAAACTGTTTATGTGCTTTGCTCAATATAGTTTGGATTGCTGTGACCAAGGAGTAAGATAAGAGAGCAATTATGAATGAGCAAGCTCTTGTAATGCCCTGCTAGAAACATACAATTGTTTCCATTGCAACACTGCAGCTGAGTAAGCACTATAGCACGACCTCCCCCAACCTGCCTAGTAATAGTCATCGTCCCCAGCGATGCTGCAGAGCAACACTCCCTCCTCACTCACTTCCTACCGAATGCACGTGTACTCAAGGCTTCTCCCTACCCGGCATCTCCCAGCGTGCTTGGGAAGTGGGGGTGACCAGAGCAACAGCAGTTCACCTTGCTGCAACCTCTCACCACGGAATTGATTATGTTCCTCCTCTTCAGCTCTGCAGAACCCTTCTTCTAGAAGGGGATGGATTCAGCTTTGGATCAATCAAAATATGTGAAGACCTCTGCTAACCACACATCGTCACTGAAGCGGATCCTTGAGCCAAGGGAGCACAGGTTGACAAGTCAGAGTTAACTTGAAATGTGCGGAGATGGAAGGAACAGAGATAGACTCATAGAATAGTTTGGGTTGGAAGGGACTTTTAAAGGTCATCTAGCCCAACCCCCCTGCAGTGAGCAGGGACATTTTAACCAGACCAGGTTGCTCAGAGCCCCATCCAACCCGGCCGTGAATGTTTCCAGGAAAGGGGCATCTACCACCTCTCTGGGCAACCTGTGTCAGTGTTTCACCACCCTCATGGCAAAAAATTGCTCCTTATATCTAGTCTAAATCTACCCTCTTTTAGTTTAAAACCAATACCCCTTGTCGTATCGCAATAGGCCCTGCTAAAAAGTCTGTCACCGTCTTTCTCGTAAGCTCCCTTTCAGTACTGAAAGGCCGCAGTAAGGTCTCCCCGGAGCCTTCTCTTCTCCAGGCTGACAGGTTCCTGTCCAGCTCTGCACCCTGCAGAGTTGATGGCAATTCCACTGCCAAGACTGATGTCACCTGCAAGCTGCCAGAGCCATGTTGTGCAAGATCAGCTTGCTCACTCACTCCTCTGGACGCTCAGGACTTGACAATGTTTTAAGGCAAGAGGAAAGGGATTTTCTGAATCACTAAGGCCATTTTTTCCAAACAGGTTATGTAAAGGCAAACTTGTTATCTTTAATTTGGTTAAACTCATTTCTAGCATCATTTTGGGCATTGACATAAAAAAAACCACCACCCGCTGTTTTCTTTCATAAGCTTATTCTGATGCTTTTTAAGCACTCAAACCAATTGCTTTTTCTGAACACCACAGTATTTCATTGAGAAGTGATGGAAAATGTGGCGTCTCCTCTGTGAACAATCGACACACAGTGGCTGGTACCGAGTCAAAATGAAACTCGCTGTAGTACTTATTAACCCTACATAAAACTGTAAAGTACAGAGTGTCATATAGTAGACAAAGGGCAGAACGTGTATTTTGTTCTTAGTGTTCCACTGACTCAAAACCTGCCCTAGGTCACGGGGGTCACTTACTTACTACAAAGCTAAGGGAGTCCCTTCACAAGATAATGGAGAAAAACTATTATAAAAAGGAAAAACAAATTAGTAAATTGAACCATCTTTCTCTTTTCTTCTTACATGCTGAATGAACACTGTGCAGATCAGTCACCCCAAACCAGCTCCCCCCTCCCCGCCAGCTACAACAGTTAATTGGGCATGTCCTGGCAGCATGAAGCAAGGAGCCGACAGAAGCCTACCGAGATTAAGCCATTCACCTCCTCGCTCAGTAGAGGGAAGGAGGAAACGATTACCAGGGATGCTCCTGGTGTGATGCGGCTGCATACCAACAGTCTTCCTAGGCTGAGCCAAACGGCTGGGGGAGCTCATACACCAAAGCACGCGCTGTGTCCAGAGAAGGCAGCTCAGCCACTACCCACAGCCACCCAGCAAAGGAAGGGGACCTCTAATTAACACATCACTTTGGACCAAGTTAGATTTGATCTATATGTAGATAGGAAGAGAAGCACAGAAATAAAACATACGCAGACCTTATTTTGAAGTACCAAAACAAATCTGAGAGCGCAGATGACCACACAGCGCTCAGAAGAATGTCGCAAGGTGAAGTACTTGCCGTGTGAAAATGAATCTCTACTTCTGGCCTTTACCTCAAGGGAGTGGTCAAAAATGCCATCTCCACAACTAACTACCCTGTTGCTACACACCCCAACGTAAACACCGTGTCTCCAGGAGATAATCTTTGTAGGTAGTTAAAGGATCTACAGGTTGTCTCCTTTACTCTCCTTTAAGGTAGCTTACCAGGACACGATTCCTTCTCCCCTTCCAAGTGGGAATAGGCCCCTCCGTCAGAAAACCATGAAGATATTCTCTTCTTCCTGTTCCCTCCTGCCTGTTTCCCGTCCAGATCTCTTGCACTTTTCCAGTTGTACTTTCAAATAGTGTGCCTGTTCTGAAAAGACAATGCTGTGAAAACTTAAGCTAAAAAGCAGCTAGCACGGACTCTGCGGCAGGTTGCCTCCTCACGGGCCATGCCGGCCTGCGTAACACTTGCATGGTAAACGCTTCAAAGAGTCTTACGCTGTCGTTCATAGTACGCTTGTCTGGAAGCGTCTTCCCAAAGCAGCAGCAGTCAGCGCACTCACCTGCACAGCTCCCTTGTCCTTATCCAGACTGTAACCCTCAGAGCGTACTGGGAGACACTGTTCTGGCAAAACAACAAAGCAAGGCACTAAGCAGAAATCTTCTCTTCTTTTTTTTAAACATCTTTTTATTAGCACAGTAACAAATGCAGACTTAAGTAGCCCACAACATACAACCAATCCACTGAGTGACTCCTATTCCACGCCTTACAGTTAAACAGCTTAAGGTATTTCACTACAGGTTGCCGTAAGTCCTGATTAAACCCTTTATGCTTTTCACAAAGATAGATTGGCTTATAAAATAATACATTAACTACTTCTCATTTCATATATGAGGCCATATATCCACCTCTTCGTATCACAGATCATGAGATGACAATCTTTAAAAAGGATTTGTTAAATACCAATGTGCCCTCCATAGGGGAAAACAATCCCGACATCTTTTTACAAAAACAACTCCAAACAAAACGAAACAACTCCAAGAAACCCAACCCAGAACAAAATAATCCTCCCAAACCAAAACAAAAAGCAAAAACAGTGTGTAGAGTCTTGAAAGGACTTTTACATAAATGTCAACATATATACCTGTACAAAATTAAGCTGTTTTAATCTTTTACATATTGCAAGCAAACTGAAAACCAAAGAAGTCTAAGAAGTTTACATTCTTCCCGGTACTATATGTGAGCTAATATTGCTGAACTAATTACAGTCTTAAAATATGCTATTCCCAATCCTAGCTGTCTACTGTAGCAAGATACCTTAAGTTACAACAACAAAATCTTAGGAAATAAAAGACTGAATAAAATCTGTTATAGAAATACCCTACTCTTTACCAGCACCCTGCCCTCCCCCACCCCTCCAAAATCATAAGCAGCTCTTTCCATCACAGACGAATAATGTAAGAGTTGGACAAAAATCCAATTTATGTAGCGTATCTTTTGGTCCATTGTCTGGCCATTCTGTCATGCTCTGCTCTGTTAGTCATATACTGAGTGGCAATGCTTCCAACCAGGGGGTCAGCTGAAAAGAAAAGAAAGCAAACCACTCGTTTCAGCCAAGTTATTGAACAAAAACGTAAAAATAAAGCTGAAGTGTGAATGTAATATGAGGGAATCACACAGCTAAGGTACACTGCAACAATCTAAGCATACTGAATCGATGGTCTGTATCTTCATCGATCTGTGTGTATGTATGGTGACGTACTAATCTATTACTTAATAAAGAGTGAAATGCCAATTAAAGTTTTAAGGAGTTTAAAAGGCAACAATCCAACAGTCATGTTTTGCGTTATTGAGGACTTTCACCAGTTCAAGAGTTTCAGGTTTATTTTACCCCTTCTAAAAGTGCCTGGGACATACTCATTGCTAAGTGTACTTGTATCAACATAAATCTGCCTTCTAGGTAAGATCAGATCTCAATGAGAGGTTTTATTTTTCCAGAAAGGTTTATTTTTATTATATATAATACCGTGTAAACTCTGGTGTTTCTCTCACCTTTAGACACATCTAGAAACACAACCTGTAAAACTGACTTTGGAAACCAAGACATATTCCTCTTAACTGGTGTGGACAACGAACGGGTGGCTTGGAGAAGCAGCGAGGACTACTCGTGGCACAGCTGGTCACGGGTTTTAAAGGGATGGCGGAAAGGAAAAGGCTAACCCCTCGTGTTCAGAACTGCGCTTGCGGCTCTCGCAGCTCCGTTACTGCGTTACTGCAGCCCTACGGAGCGATGCAGAGCGTCCAGCCCTCGGCCAGCACCCGAGCGGGTGTGGAAGGGGCAGGAGGAGGGCCTGAGGGGCTGGGAAGGGCAGGGTCTGCCGCCTTCGACACCCCGGCCCCGCCGGCTGCCCTGCGGAGGGAAGCG